GAGACAACTTCTCAATCATCTCTGCAATTTGGAATGCTTCATTGATGATAAGACCTTCAATGAATTAGTAATAATAATATAACTAATACTTTCGACATAAGTATTAATTCGACTTATACCTTCAGTAAGAAGATCGTGAATAATCACTTGCAATTCCTGGACTTGGGTAATAACAGACTTGCAATCTACCATTTTTAGTCCAAAAATTTTGCGGCAACAAATTTCTTCGACCCGGCATCCTCAATTTTGTATTTCTTTTCAAGTGCAACGCACAGTTATTTTGACATCTCCATATTACTGTAGACATTATACAGATCGTCCTACAGTCCACTAAGAATATAGTTCTTACACAAAAAATCAGAATGCTTCCACGCCTCAGTCACGAGAAAGTGTTCATTTTCTGGAGTTTCGTCAGGCAGAACAGGAATATTTTCCTTAATGAACTTCTGTAGACTTAAAGACGTCAAGTAGAAGAACATCTTCTGCTTCCACCGCTTGAAATCAATCCCGAAAATTTTTTCGGGCTTTTCTACCAGTGCCGGTGCTAATTCCGGTGTTGTTCGGCTTGTCGATGCATTGGCAGTCACCATAGGAACAGGCTGGTTTCCGTTCTCAGTCGTCATTTCTGTAAAAGAATGACACAAACAAATATTTAATATACGGTGAAGTTTTTATATCTTCAAATCGAATAAACTGGAGTAGAAAATCACGTAGATTTTAATCTCCAATAGAATAGAAAATCGCTAGGATTTAATCTCCAGATAATAGATAATGAACCAAAACAGAATATACGCTAAAAAAATTGAAGTAGAAAAGCACGAAGGCTTTAATCTCCAAAACGGAAGTAGAAAATCATACAGGTTTTAGTCTCCAGAACAGTATGCATAACGCAAATACAGAATATAAAGTTATGTTTCTTAAGCTTGTTAGTATATTGCATTTGTAAAATAATTCTCGAGAATAAAAACAGCGTACAAATAGAAGAAGTGGAAATGTAACGACCCGACTGGTCGTTTTACTTTCTAGAACCCCGTTCTCCTAAATAAGACTTTTCGTACTTGCTCTTAATTATTTATGACTTGCGGGGGTGGTTGGTTCGGGATTTGGAAGAGTTTAGGTTGAAATCGAAACACTCGGTTCCTTAAGGTTGGCTTAAAAGGCCAAGTTTGACTTCGGTCAATATTTTTAGTAAACGACCTCGAAACCGGAATTTGAAGGCTCCAACAGGTTCGTATGATGACTTCGGACTGGGCGTATGTCCGGATCGGTTTTTGGATAACCCGGGAGCGTTTTGGCGCCTAATAGTGAAAGTTGATACTTTAAGGATTTCAAAGTTCTTTAAATTTGGTTTTGAGTAGGTTTTTGTGATATCGAGGTCCAAACCGAATTCCAAGACCAGGAATAGTTCCATAATGTCATTTAAGACTTACACGCAAAATTTGGTATCATTCCGAGTAGTATAAGTACGTTTCGGCACAATGTAAGTAGATTAAAGAACTTAAAGTTCATAAGTTTGATTCAATCGCTTTTAGGGTATGAGTCTTAGTTTTAATGTTGTTTCGGGTGTTCCGATGGTTCGAGCGAGTCCGTTTTACGAATTCAAACTTATCGATATGTTCGGGCGGGGCCCCGGGGGCACCGAGCGTCAAACGGACGAGGCTCGAACTAAGTTGAAAATTTGAGAAGGAGCTGAAGCTCCAGTTGCTGTCATAACCGCACCTGCGGTTGGCCAGCCGCAGGTGCGAGCTCACAGGTGCGGTGGAAGCATCGCAGATGCGGCCCAAGGAGGGAAAACCAAGTTCCGCAGATGCGGCTCCTCTCCCGCAAAAGCGGAACCGCAGGAGCGGTCATCAGTCCGCAGATGCGGCCCCAGCTGGCCCGGCCCATTTCCGCATAAGCGGACAATAGTCCACAGAAGCGAGACTGCAGATGCGGTCAAAGCACCGCAAGTGCGGAAATCGCTGAAGGCAGTGGCCTTCATTTAATACGGGAGTTTGTCATTTTTGACACATTTCACTCTATTCTTGGGCGATTTTGGAGCTTCAAAAGGGGAGATTTCAACCTAGCTTTGTGAGGTAAGTAATTTCTACTTAATGTGAGTTAATACATAGTTTATGGATAGATTACAACATGTAAACTAGTGAAAATTATGGGTTTAGAGTAAAACCTAGGGTTTTGATAAAAATGAGATTTAACCGCGAAATTTGTTATGGAATGTAGTAGAAATCATATATTCGTGATCCTAAGGTTATAGGTGACAACTTTCTTCAAAAATTTCCGAGATTCGGGCACATGAGCTCAGGGATGAATTTTAGGAACTTTGCATGTAGGGTAGAGAATATGAACTCTTGAGCATATATTGACTAGTTCTTACCCATTTGAATAGTTTTGGATCGTTCGGCTCCGATTTGAGGGTTTGAGAGCATTCTTGAAATTGGAAGTAAGCTTTGGGGCAAGGTAAGTCTCTTTTATAACCTTGTTAGAGGGAATTCACCCCATAGGTGAATTAAATAAATGTATGTACCTATCTGTGGGGGCTACGTTCGTACGCGGTGACGAGAGTCCGTGCGTAGCTACTATTATGCTAATTGTCCGGGTAGTTTAGGACCCGTATCATGCTATACTTGCAATGCTTGCGTCCTTACTTGTCACTATAATCACTTAAGGCTTGCTGGAAATTGGTAAAACAAATATAGACGGTTATACTCACTACCTAAGAATTTGTATGAATTACTTGACTGAAAATGGGCAAATGTGTGTTTTCTTGAAAATAAATTGTTATTTGTGGATCCGGTCGAGCGCCTCGGTAGTAAATAGATGCATCTATGGTTCGCGCTATTCGACCCTCTGGCAGTGCACAGTTTAATTTTATATTGGACCGGGCCGTACGAGCTCGGCATAACCTGCGCATGTTTTTTATTTGGAACTTCCCGTGATTTATACTACTTAAATGCTTTGAAACGTAAGTTGTTACATGATATGACTTAAATTGACTTGTTGTTTATGAAGGAATGTCCCAGTTCTTAAACTGACATTATTATTCATGTTGTTCATGCTTAGTGTAGCACTCAAATTATATTATTATTGGCTCTAGTGAGTGTCAAGTCGACCCCTCGTCACTACTTCTTCGAGGTTAGACTGGATACTTACTGGGTACATATTGTTTATGTACTCATACTATGCTTCTGTACTTTATTGTACAGGATCTGAGACAGGTGCATCTAGCTACCCGTCCGGCGTGCATTCCTGATATTTGATCGAGATTTCACTGTGAGATGGCCCCTTCTGAGCCGCTCAGCAGCATGCCGGAGTCTCTCCTTTTGTTATTACTGTCTATTCTATTTCAGGCAGTAGGATAGTTATATTTTTGTACATTCTACTAGTTGCACTCGTACTTGTGACACTAGATCCTGGCACACACATTAGTAGACTATTATTTTTGGGTTGTATTCCTATAATTATGATTCCTTTAGTCATTCCCGTTTCAGTTGCTTTATAAAATTGTTATTTATCGACTGTTTAAATTTAAGTTAAGTAAATGTTGGGATGGTCTAAATAAAATAAATGAGAACTCACTAGTTGATTAGTGTTGGCTTGCCTAACAACGGTGTTGGGCGCCATCACAGTCTATAATGGAATTTGGGTCGTGACAAGTAATTAATCCGAGCCCACTGAATTCACAGTGTTGAGATTAATCCGAGTCCACTGAATTCACATGGTTTTCTTAAGGAACTTAATCCCCTCCTAGTACTCGAGGTTATGGATTATTTCTTCCCAGGATATAACAGATTACACACTGGTGTAGCGGTACTTCAAACTCCAGTATTTCAACGAATGGCGACAGCAATCACACTTATGTTGTTTGTTTGTATGAAAACAATGCAGAAAGGAAGAGGAGAATTCAGAATTTTTGTAAGAAAAATCTGAGGGAATGACCTGCTATTTATAGCCAACAGGTTGGGGTTAAATGAAGAGGTGAAACTCTTCAAGATGGTCGTTTACGTAAACGGCTATAATGTGAATGGCTATTTATGCAAAATAAAACGGGAAAATAAAATTGGAGGGAAACTTTAAATTACCTTTACAAAAACGGTCGATTTGGATTAAATATTAATATTTAACAAATAAATTTGGTCCAAACAATTATCAATCAATCAGATAATTTGACCAAATCTGAAGCCGAGCGACGACGACGGTGCGAGGCTTGCCTTCTTCTCAACTCTTTAAGAGCTAGAAGAAGTGTAATCATATATATACTCAAAAAATGAGCTTTCCTCCTCCAATATGGGACAATGTTCCTTTGTAAAGGAGGGAAAACCAAAATTTTATTTTTTCCTCTATTTCCCATTCACTCTCTTTTAAGCTAAATCAAGCTTAAAAACCCAACAAAAGTATTCTCACATACAAATTGTATGTTATATATGTATGTTCGGTGGACATTGCATCTGTAAGTTTATGGGGAAAAAATTAACATAAAAAGCTCCATTAAGAAATGCCAAATAATCATCTATAATACTTAGTACAATAGCATTAATTTTAAAAAGAAAAAGAGATAGATAGTAAATTAGAGCAGACTTGCCTGCTTCCGCTCAAGTTATTAAATAAAAACCTCCTATATTTTCATTCATTTCTCGCGTATTGATGGTTAAAGTTATTTATGTACAAATTTGTACATAAATAAGTTAAAACTAAGTTAAGAGCATACGCCAAGTACATGTAACTTTTTTGGAGAGCCTCCTCGCGACACTAAAAGATACATAGGATTTGCACCAGCTATCCATTTGTTTATTTTTTGTTCCAAAGGTTATTTGTCTAAAAAAAAAAAATATTTATGCCCATCAGAAGTTTACATTTCCGGCTATTGTAACCATTTGGTTACGTGGTGATGAAGTTGCGATTATTATGTGACAAAATTAAGTTATGTGATTTTGGTACAAAAAACATATAATTACGTGAGTATTTGTGAAATTGACCCAAGATGATCCTTCTTTTCTACTTACTTTCACAAAGTATGACTTTAGTTTCGCATTCAACAAAAAAATAGGAAACAGATACAGAAATAAACTAACAACAGAAATCTTTGATAGTGAACTAAAATGACAGAACAACAACAAATTAAATGAAGTTCAATCAAAATGACCATTACAAACTAGTGATTTGGCTGCACATAACACAGCTAACTAGCATAGGATTCTTGGCCGAAACTCTGTTAAATCCTACTACATCCATATATCATCAATCCAACCAACATCAACTTTACAACCAGTGACCCGAAACCACCAACTGTCGTCGGAGCAGCAGACTTTTCGGAAGAATGCACGGCGGCGATGGCTGCCGGTGGACGAGGTGGAAGAGGGTGAACTACAACAGAAACCTTCATACCATCAGAGCAGCCGCCAATGCCACAGATGAAATAATACCTCTTGGTCTTGTTCAGCAAAATGAAATCTCTTCCACTGCTCCAATTCCCAAATGCACCCTCTATTATGCAGTTATCATATCCATTTTTATTCACTTCAAAAACATTATGTTGTGTCTTTTTATACCTAAATGCTGCCAAAAAACATGGAATAGACAATGCAAGTTAGAGATAATATTTCTATACTCAATGCAGGATTTTACATAAGTGTTGATATAATTTGAAGAAATGGACAAATGAATAAATTACTATAGTGACAAGCAGTATCATTTTCTATACCGTATCTCTAATATTTTCATTTCTCTTATAAATATCTAGTGAAAATTTTCGACTCAGTGGTGTCCCATTATATAAGGTGCATACACCCCTCTCTACACTATCAGGTCAAGTACATGCATGCAAGAACAGATTGTTGTATATAATAAACGTAACCTGATAACAAACAATTATAATGAATTGCATTTAGAAATTCATTTCAAAGTTAAAAAAAAAAAAAAAAAAAAAAAAAAAAAAAAAAAAGAATTGGTTTCACCTAGCTAGTAACGTACGTGCATTAAATTAATCAATTTTTCCCCTCTTATTCTTATTTTTACTAACAGCGATATATTCTAGTTTATAAACATAGACTTTCATAAAAAAGAACATGACTTTGGATACCTAAATTCTCTCCAACAAACAAGGAATAGACAAGTTCAGGAAAGTCTGTAAATATTTACGTACAAATTTTTTTTAGAAAAAAAGACGTACAGATTAGGTCACCAATGTAGAATGTTTGGTTGCTACTCCAGAGAGTATAGTTGATGCCTGGATTCCAACCTTTGTTCGCTCCAACGATGTGGTCAGTGGCGGAGACGGTGGTGGCCACGGCGGCGAGGAGGAAGAAGAGTACACAGCTGAGAGCCATGTAATTGGGAGAGATACTGATAAGCTGAGTGGAAACAAGGCTTAATTAGCAGCTCCTACTTTTTTAAAATAAGGTTGCTCAACCAAACCTTATATATAACGGATCCAAAGCTAAAGTTAAATCAACCATCATTAGATTAGATAGTAACTATACTGTAATATTTTATAATAGGAATTATCACGCATACACCTCGTATAATGTACATTTCCTCATTTTTTTAACCAAAAGTCAATGGATCATATTATTGTTAAATTCAAAGGTATGTTGTTACACACTGGAAACCTCCCAATCTGTTTGAAAGACGCAGAATTCAAGAAACTCGTTTAAGCATAGCGAATCGAAAAAAATTAGTAGATGAGTATCTTCGCACGCATTGTTTTTGAAAAATAAAATAAAACCTGCACCTTTGTTTGCACCCTCTATAGCCTGCTATATCTGTATAAAAAAAATAATTAAAAGGAAAATTAAAGCAAGGCTTTAAATTTGTGATGATTGCACTAATTAATAATTATAAATATATATACATTTTATAGAGTTCTTGAACTATGTATGACTAGTACGTATTGATAGCAATAGATGTACGTACTTGCATCCACTTCTGGAGCTATACTTGCGCGCTGATCTTAAAGCAAAATGATGAAAAGTTGGCACTCCCAAAGCAGAATGATGAAAACTACTCCCTTCGTTTTAATTTATGTGACGTATTTTAAGAAGAAAAGAAAAACTTTTGAAATTTATAGTTTTAAAAGTTTAAACAATAATAGCTTTATGAGACCATAACATTTGAGTAACTTTAGTCTATAGAAGCTTCTCACTAAGGCTAAAATGCATAAAATAAAAATTTACAGCTAAATTGATTCCAAATATAAAATATGTAATTCTCTTCTAAATAAATTTATAAAATATATCAATAATACAATTGAGGGAGCAACAAAATAAGATATGAGAATGAGTACGTAGCAGCACGCCTTGTGTGGAAAGGCACGCCTCAACCTGTTAAAGGAATGACTGCTGCTGTTACTACTAGTACTACTAGTACTCAACTTACCATTTTAATTTTCAATGATGGCATTGAAAAAGTAGACCAAATTAATGGGCTACCACTAGGCACGTCTTCTTAATCCTTGCTTCCGCAATCTGCGATCTTGTTGTACGAGAATTTTGTCGACCCATAATGATGTCTGCTTCTACAGTAACTATGTATCCGAGAATATGGGAGGACTTTGAACTGACAGGCATATTGGTTTACAAATGCAGCAAAGAAATCCAACATTTTATTCAGTCGGCGTCATTAGTCAAGTACTAATAGTTATCTTTACAATAGGGAAAAGAAAAAGGGACAAAAAGACTACACTTACCAGCACTAGGTAAGTGTATTCCGTGTACATTATTCGCCTATTTGAAGCTAAAAACCTATCCCCACATCTGAAAAGATCGGGAATCGAGCATATATACAGCTCTCTTCTAGTATCTCTAGAATGCCTCCGTTTTATCTATCAAAACTTCAAAGCCTGCGGTGACAACTTAACTACTCCAATATAGGAGATATTAAATGTAACCTCTAATTAAATTCAGGCTTTTTCAGCTGCATTATCATTACATTGAGATCCTGCAGATACAGCATTAGGATTGTTAGATGCTACTGTGTTCTCGTTACATTCAAAATTTTGATTAGAAGGCAGTAATTGATCCTTGTTCACTGCAGCGGTCTTGAAGGGTTTCTTGAATTGTACCAAGATCATGGTCATGTTATCACATCCTTCTCCACCTGTGGATGGTGCCAGACATTTATCTAGCACTTGCTCACAGACAGCGGAGAGCTTATTTTCCTGCACCAACGATGACACATTTAGTTTTTAAAAACTGAAAAGCGTGATCTTAGAACAACAAATAATATAATTAAGGACTCACATGTTTTAACTGTTCCCCAACAAAGTCCACAACTTCTTGGCTTGACATGCAATCCCTAATGCACAAGAAATACAGATATAAGCACCAAAATTATGAAATTCTGCTGTAATGATATAACCAAAAAAAAAAGGTGCAAACAGGGCCTGGCAATGTACTCGCATCTAACATAAAGTGACGTTCTCATTACAAGAATATAACCATGTCGCAGAGAATTTCTAATAACATTAAAAAGATGCAAGCTCCACCATTCCCTGGTTGACCCCATTTTTTCTTTTTTGGAAAAGTTGCATGTGTATGGAAACAACATGCAGAAAGAACCATTGAACTAACCAAAAGCCTGCAAAAATCCATACTAAATTTTTTTTCTTGTACATCTTGTCAACCTACTAGCAAACAGTATGCAAGTTCAAGTACATTAAGCCCAGCAATCTAATAAGTCTAGAAGGAAATGAACCGATGTTCACCTAAAAGAAATTGGATTTTAGTGCAAATACAGTAACTGGGAAGATAGAACCAAAATGATACGATACTTACCATATGCCATCACAAGCTAGAACAAGGAAATCATCATCATTGCAGAGCTCAACCTAATTTGAGGGAAAATTTACGAAAAGAAATGTTAAATGCAAAATCGTCTTCGGCTAGAAAGGAACACAGACAAGAATTCTCCATTTTGATCAGTTAATTATTAAAGAAAAGCAATAACGCTCCACCTTCACCTAGCTGTACACATAAATATACTGTAGAAAATCTTCCTCCAACAACTTTCATCGTTCTACGGATTCGAAAGGAATCATAAGCCATTGTTTACTTACAGTGCGGATATCAGGATTAGCAGTCACTATTTGTTTTTCAGCAGGCAATGATTTGTTCTGTTTGAGTTCCATGTCGCCTGAAATTACTGAAGTGATCAGAATTGCCATAACACAAGGGAAAAAGGAAAACTGGCTATACTTTTTATAGTATATTTTAGAAAATGCAATATTTTTAATACCAATTGCTCTTGCCATGTTTAAACTCCCATTAACCCGTCCACACCGGACGTATCCACCAGCATTTATAATCCTTTGCTTTTCAGCTTCAAGGTCAGGCTTATGGTCCCTAGACATATCATATGCCTGCATAACATGTTTTGTGCTTAATACAATATGCCTACTTAGAAGAAAGAGGAGCGCATCATGTACAGTGATGTTAACTCCAAACAAGCTGCTTTAACAATTTGTCCAGAATGCAAAATCACATTACAATCCTGAACCAGAATATATAACTGATACAAATATAAATGGTACCTGACCCTTCCGAGATAAGACACAGCGAGAATCACCAGCATTTGCCACAAGAAGTTGAGTATTTTGAATGATTGCTACACAAGCTGTGCTTCCTGCAGTTGGTCCATGGTAATCAGAGTTAGCCCCCTACATTGGAAAAAAGGCAAAGGTCAAAAGATTAAACTCCAGTATATTGATTAAAATAGTTGGAAAATAAATTTTCAGAATCTATGTAGTTATAACTCCAAGCAGTCTACTGGATTAGTCAGACCATTGCAAGACTAGGAGTTATATAGTACTTTCTGACACCTCTTAATGCTTCTTATGTCATTTTTCTTTGGATAAATATATCTTACACCTTTAAGGAAAACAAAAATAACTGATGATTAAATAGTATACCCGACGATACTCTTTCAGATACTTTTGTTTCTCATTCATCCTTCATGTTTTCTTTTTCTATTCTTCTTTTCTTTGTTTTTTTATTTTATATGGTCGTGTCCGGGCCAACTTGACCGAACCTCAGCTATTCCATTGGTTTTCCGTGCTACCTCCCACCAACATAGGTACCACATAACACCGCCCACCTAAGCTTAGGCAGATGGGAAAGAAACCACCTAATGTTTCTTGCTTCCATTGTGATTTAAACCCGCGACCATAGTTTTCCTCCCACTTTATTGCAAATATGTCACTTTATTTGCCCCTGGTTGGGGTTTGAAACGAGGACAAGCATTTAAAATTATTGGAAATAAATTTCCTTTTAACCTAGAGCAATTCAATCCTAAATATAAATCAACATGGTTGGGTACAATCTTCACCAGAAGTCAGAAATGTCAAGAAAGATAAAGATACTTCTAACATTTGATGGGTATTTAACACGCCATGATACTAGATTAACCAAAAGATTAAACATCGTCCAGCTTTGACATCTTTGTCATACAGGTTTTTTTTCTGGTTTAGGTGATTCTCAAAGAGGACTAGAAAGCCAACATTTATCATGTTAAGAATATTCTGTAATTAAGGACATAGATTAGCTAATATTATATATATCAACTAAAATCAATTAGGAACATAGGGAATGTTATATGTATCAACTAGAATTAATTAGGGAATCATATTACACGTTCAACTCCAGTAATTATATAGCATTTCCTACTTTAGGAAATGTGTACAAAATGTTTAAACCCCAATAGTTAGTGGGAATAGTCTCACAATTCTCTTTTCCTCTTCCTCTTTTTTTTATGGCATCAGGGCCAAGGTAGTGAGTACATTCCCAAAAATCCTACTTTTCTTCTCTGCTACAAAGGAAAAAACCTTCTTCAGGCAAATAGTGGTCAGAATTCGATTGAAGAAAACTCTGTTTCACCATTCCCTCACCGCCAAAGCATCATTCAGCATTTGGTTGTAGTATTTTGTTGTACCATCTAATCTCTGGGATTTCAACCCAAGTTTATCATGTGGTTTCTTAAGGCCCCTTTGGCCATGACTTCCCACTTGCATATAATTATATCAGTTTTTGCAACTTGCATGTTGACATTTGGCCACAAAATTTCATGTTAAGAATTTGAATATCAAGTGCAACATTATTCAAGTTGAAATAATGGTTTGAAAGTGTATTTCAAATGACAACTTCTTTTTTTGATAACCGTGGTGTCCGACCCAGCTTGAGCGCACCTCAACTAATTCCACTGGATACCTGTCACCTCCCACCAGCAACAGGTACAAGGTAACTCTATCCACCAAGGCTTGGATAAATGGGAAGAAATCACCCAGTGCTTTTTGCCAAAGCTGGAATTTGAATCTGAGACTTCATGGTTCTCACCCACTTCATTAGCCACTAGGCCACACCCTTGGTGCTTAAATGACAATTTTAGTATTTTAACTTCCACTCACAACATAATTTTCACA